CATCCATGTACCCAGTAAGGTTCTCCTGCTGCTCCTGCGTCAGAGAAAGATTCAGAACAGAAACCTGCTCAGTACTGGTACCTGCAGAAGTGTGGTTGCAGGCAGGACCATCACATCTGTACTGTGCTGCAAGTCTTAAATAAACACATGCTGTTTTGTCATGGAAGGAATAAAAAAAATGATTTGTAAAAGTTAGTAAACTTTTTTTAAAGCTGAAGCCAAAAATCGTGGTTCTTCACCTCAAAGGACATTCTTGAGATAATGATGCCCAGCCTAAGAGCGGGATGCCGGACTCCAGTGCTCTCATCTCACCGGTCAGAGTTTTGACGCCTTCCCTGGTGGCTCAGTCGGTGAAGAATCTGCCTGCAATGCGGGAGACCTGGGTCTGATCCCTGAGTTGGGAAGATCCCCTGGAGAAGGGCATGGCAACCCACTCCAGCATTCTTGCCTGGAGAATCCCCATAGACAGAGAAGCCTGGTGGGCTGCAGTCCATGGGGTCGCTAAGAGTCGGACAAGACTGAGTGACTCAGCACAGTACAGCATCAGAGTTTTGAAGACTATTTATCTGACATAGTTTTAAGTGAAACATCTATATTTTTCATTAAAACAGAAGTACTTTCAAATGATACAATCTTGGCACGCTGTGAATAGTGTACACAATTGAATCTGAATATCATAACAAGGGATTTCCCTGGTGTTAAGACTCTGTGCTTCCAATGCAGGGGCAGAGGTTTGATGCCTAATTGAGGAACAAAGATCTGACACGCTGTGGCACATGGCCAAAAAACAAATGAAAAAAAGTAAATGAAAAAAATTATGAAAAAAAGTTAAATATCATGGCAAGTTGACACCCATATCATACATTAATAAACAAGCTCCTCTTTCAAAGTTGAAATTGCCACATCATTCATCTTTCTACTTTAACTCTGACTGAACCAAGGTTTAGTACAAGAAACAGGGAATCGGACATAACTTAGCAAGTGAACAACAGTCCCTGGCACTTAGCTCCCCTGAAATCATCAGTTGACAGTAGTCACGCTGTGTGAGAACCCGGGGGCATGAGCACCAGCCACTCAAACAGATACCATGATGCAGACGGGTACTGAGCTCTCCGGTGGCTCCCCTGGTGGCCCAGACGGTAAAGAATCTGCCTGTGATACAAAAGACTGGGTTCAATCCCTGGGTCAGGAAGACTCCCTGGAGAAGGGAATGGCTACCCACTCCAGTATTCTTGCCTGGAGAATCCCTTGGACAGAGGAGCCTAGTAGGCTACAGTCCATGGGGTTTCAAAAAGTTGGACATGCCTGAAGTGATTTAGGACATTCATCTAAAATCTGATTTGTCTGTAGGACAAGGGTTTACTGCATCTATTTTTGTGAAAACGGACTTCACAAGCCATTCAGTTCGGTTCAGTTCAGTCGCTCAGTCGTGTCCGACTCTTCCAGACCCCATGAATCGCAGCACGCCAGGCCTCTCTGTCTATCACCAACCATTAGAGCTTTTCAAATGCAGATTTTCACTGCACTTGTGAGTACGTCAAGGTCCAAGATCTGCTCCAGTGGTATTATGGAAACCTTTTAGAGTCCTGTATGGGTCACATACTTACAAATTGTATCTTTCTTATTTTGATGTTAATATGCTTCAAAAAAAACACTTGAAAGGTCAGGAAAAATGCTTTATAGGAGAAAAATCTATATAGGAATTTTATTTTCTCTTTATTGGATCATGCAATTTATTTTTTATCTTTTTTCAATTGAAGGATAATTCCTTTACAGAATTTTGTTGATTTGACTGCCAAACATCAACATGAATTTTATTTTTTATCTTTTAAAGCCTAAGTTGCTCAAGTGTCGACCCTCCAAAAAACAAATCTGTCTTAAAATAGACAACGATTCCAAAATTGGCCTTTGCTCTGTTTTTTTCTAAGGATAATCAGATTGTAAGTATAGTTTCTAACCAATTTACACATCATTAGACGCGCGCCTATTAAACCAGTTTGGATTTTCTGTGATCATCACTCAAACTTATTTACTAATTATTTTCTAAATAGCAAGATAAATCTGCACTCAGTCTTTCCCCCTTGGGCAGTCCCATAAGACATCATTTTGCTATTAGTCTGGAAATGTTCCATAAACAGAACAGTGTGGTGGCAGTCTGCAGCGTGGCCTCAAGGGGGACATCAGATGTTGGTTCAAATGTGACTTTTATGCTCTTGATCCCACATCTGAAAGTAAAGACGTAATGTGTCTCTGCAAAGGGGGTGCTGAGCGGGGGCATTCTGTCTCTGTCAGCGTCTCAGCCTCTGGGGAAGTGCAGTCCGAAAGCCATCAGTGGACTCCTGGGCATCGTCTTTCATCTGGGTCTTTTTGGGGGTTCTTGAAATATGGCGGCAGGAACCAATTTAAACCAGTGAATGCTAATCCTGCAGCAGTCAGCCACACGAACACTTCTCATCCGGGGATTTAAAAACACTTTGCCAAACGTAAGTCATTAATCTTCACAGTGGCCCTTTGGAGTCATAAACATCTATCACTACCCATCTTTACCACTAGGAAGTCTGGGATTTCAAAGGCACAGGGAAGGGCTATGCCCATGGTCCCAGGTGGGTCTCTGTGATCTGGCCATCAAGCTCTGGAATTAATCTTGGGAGCATGGCACAGTGGCCCCGTGGGGAGATGTGACTGATGTGGGAATGGGTCACAATGGGGTCTTTGGAAGGGTTGGTTTTGGCTGGAGCCCACCCAAATGCTGTGTGTTATTTGAAGAAATGTTAATGGGAGAAGACTAGCTGTTATGTCTGGTCTTTTCCTTTCACTGATTATTTCTCTCCCTAGAGGTCTTTTTTTTTCTTATACTCATTCTCTTAATTTGATTTCTCACTTCTGAAGCCACAGATTCACAGCCCTTCAGAACATAGAGAAACCTCGGAAGTTGAGCACTTTTAATCTTTCTATAAAATTTTGATCTTCTGGGCAGGGGTATAAAGTTATTGACAGTGAAAACCCAAGCACTGAATTCTGTTTCTGTTGCTTTATCGTTTCCTGAAAATTTCTGGCCCATGGCAGTTGCTTCATCAATGTTTTCTGAATGAATGTATGAATGGGTAAAACCATGTTGGGAATAAGACTTGGAAGAAAAGGGATCATGGCAGTGGTAATCATTCAGATATTACTCATGTAAGGCTCAGAGATTTACTAGATCGTCTTTTCTGGTTGTTACATTGGTGCCTGGGAACCTTTAATCTATTTAAGGCCCTAACATTATAGAACAAAATACCAAGGACACACAGAGACTGTAAGTGACATGCCTAAAGCTATATAATTCTAAAAAAGTATGAGAAACCAGTGGATTCTTTCTTGTTTTGTAGAACCTAAAGTAACTGGTGTAATTTCTCCAGTTACAATGTGTGTTTGTGTGTGTGTGTGTGTGTGCACACGTGCGCACACACTTAGTTGTCTCTGACTTTTTGCAACCCCATGGACTGTGGCAAGAATACTGGAGTGACTTGCTATTTCCAGTGACTTAAAGTCCTCATCTGTCACTTATTATTGACCAAAGTCACTTAATTCTAATAAGCTGTTATTTCTTCATCTGTAAAATGCTAATAATGGTATTAATCTTACAGCGTCACAGTGAGGATTAATAAGATAGTGAATATGAGAGTGTTTAATAGATGGTGGAGTATTAAATAGTAACAAATAAATATTTTATAATCCTATTTGAATATAATGTTTTTATTGGAGTTTTTTCCCCAAATTACTAAATTACACATAGTAACTTATTCTCAGATGGTAAAGAATTTGCCTGCAATGCGGGAGACCTGGGTTTGATCCCTAGGTTGGGAAGATCCCCTGGAGAAGGGAAAGGCAACCCGCTCAGGTATTCTTGCCCGTGGACAGAGGAGCCTGGCAGACTACAGCCCATGGGTTTGAAAAGAGTTGGACATGACTGAGCGACTAACACACATACACACACAACGTATTCATCGTGACTCACTAGGCTTCCAGACAAATTTGGTAGTTATCAAGCAGGAGAGGATAGATATCATCTAGAAATATTTCTGGGTAATGTCAACCATTCGAAACACAGAACAGTTTTAGGTACTATATCACAGACCATGTTGAAATGAAAATATTAGAAAGTACATGGCTGGAGGCTTATTGAAGGCTTCTTGTGTGTGAGGAGACAGGGGAGTGACCCAGCAAGGGAGACAGAATGTGTGGGAGTGTCGTGACATATGTCATGATCTGTTCAGTTCAGTTGCTCGCTCAGTCATGTCTGACTCTCTGTGACCCCATGGACTGCAGCACGCCAGGCTTCCCTGTCCATCACCAACTTCCGGAGCTTGCTCAAAGTCATGTCCATTGAGTCCGTGATGCCATCTAACCATCTCATCCTCTGTCATCCCCTTCTCCCACCTTCAGTCTTTCCCAGCATCAGGGTCTTTTGCAGTGAGTCAGTTCTTCACATCAGGCATATATGTCATGATACGTAGTTAGAAACCTTGAAGGCAAAAATTTTGACCTTGTAGTTGGACCCAAAAAAAAAGCTTTATCTTTATGTAGATATGTAAACATTTGTCCACCCCTCTACTCACCACCAGCCCCATCCATATGTCCTGTATCTAAAGCTGTCAATTGATTGTCTATTCAGTGTATATTTTATACCACCTCTTCCCATGTAGCAAATTTCACTTCTCTCTTTTTTAAAAAAGTAATTAATTAATGAGGCTGTGCAGGGTCTTAGTTGCAGCTTGTGGGATCTTTAATTGTGGCATGTGGGATCTAGTTCCCTGACCAGGGTTTGAACCTGGGCCCCCTGCACTGAGTGAGTGGCATCTTAGCCGCTGGACCACCAGGGAAGCCCCAAAGTGCAGCTGTCTTGAGTGAAGTTAAAAATGTCAGGTTTTCTCATTTTCTCAATGTGTTTGCAGCTAATGATGTCAGTATGACCCGATGCTGGTCAGTGAGCTGCCAGAGAAGTCTGCTGGGATGCAGTTGGGAAAGACGTCTTCCTGTTGGAGAGATTTGTCTGAGGAGGTCATTTTTTCCCTCTTCTGGGGTTATATTCTGTGAGGTGAGGACATGATATTTGGAGTTGTTGTAGCAATTATAATACCGTGAGACATCCAACCAGAGGATCCAATGTGTTGAGACTCTCAGAGAATAAGGATGGAAGGAGCCTGGGACCTCGAAGACATCACTGAGCTGCTAGACCAATTCTTGAGCAGTGTGTCTTCAGACTTATTACTTGAAAGTATTATGTGTATGTCTTTATTGTTTAAATCACTCTAAGTTGAGCATTCTGTTAACTGCAGTCATAAATATACAGATGTACTCTTAATTTACCTTTCCTTTGTCTCAGGAAGAATTTAAGGTACCCACCCCCTCACCCCCAGACAGTGTGATTAAAGAAATTTGAAATAGGTAAAAAATGATGCAACATAAAAACACAAAGGGAAGATGGGATGAGGTCTGAGGTTAACCCACAAAAATTGTGTCATGACATCCAGTATACTTTCTAGAAGAGTGCTAACATTTTATTTTGTGGTCAAAGAAATACCGTCAGAGCACAATATTCAGTAGTTTCTCTTAAAAGTTTGTTGAATAAGTAAATGATAGTACCAGCCCCCAGGGTAGGAGCTCACACCTCTCTTCCCTCTACCGAGTGAGATGGTTTTCAGCATGGAAAGGAAGGGAAGTCAATGACCAGGCGTTAAGACTGAGGCATGAGAGGACTTCCCTGGTGGTCCAGTGGCTGACACTCTGCGCTCCCAAGGCAGGGGCCTGGGGTTTGGTCCCTGATTTGCCTTCCCAGGTGGCGCTAGCAGTAAAGAACCCACTTGCCAAGGCAGGAGACATAAGAGACATGGGTTTGATCCCTGGGTAGGAAAGATTCCCTGGAGGAGGGCATGGCAACCCACTCCAGTATTCTTGTCTGGAGAATCCCCATGGACAGAGGAGCCTGGCGGGCTACAGTCCATGGGGTTGCAAAGACTTGGACACGACTGAAGAAGCTAAGCATGCACCCATATTTACAAATTCAAACAACAGCAATAAGGTATTCCTGCCTAAGGTGATACAGCTGTCTCTTAGTCCATTGGAAACATACTCTCTCCCCAGAAAAGGGAGACCTAGCCTCCTTTCAGTTCATGCACCTACTTCTGGGGGATGTTTTGTGTCTCTTCCCCTTCCCTGGGTCAGGAAGATTTCTTGGAGAAGGGAATGGCAACCCACTCCAGTGTTCTTGTCTGGAGAATTCTATGGATAGAGGAGCCTGGTGGGCTACAGTCCATGGTATTGCAAAGAGTTGGACACATCTGAATGACTAACACTTTCACTTTTCACCCCCACCTTATTGGACCAAACTTACAGAACTTCATCATTAATCATCATTCTTGGTTAGTACACACTTTCATCTTTGCTTCTAAGTGATGTTCAGACTCTCCCTCTCTCCCACCCGGCATGCAGGGTCTTAGTTCTCTGACCAGGGACTGAACCCGTGCCACCTGGATTGGGAGCTAGGAGTCAACCACTGGACTGCCAGGAAAGTCCCTCAAACCTCCTTTAATTTTGTCAGAATCCCAATTTGATATCCTGTAACCTTTATAGTCCTATAAAACTACATTATAAAATTTGTTACATCTACCATGCCTTGTATAAAATAAGGAAAAGGTCTATGGAAAAATGTATCAATAAAAAAGTAAGGAGAAATATATGTACAGCTACTACAATCCTCATTTGTGAGCCTGAGTATAATATTAGAGTTGGCATTCATAACTTTCTTTTTTCCCCTACCCATTCCATGTTCCCTTTGCTTTCAGCAAACACCTTAGTGGTTGTGATTTTTTTACCTGGTGAGTGACCCAAGCATCTATCCCTGTTGAGTGTGAACCTTTGGTGGACCTGAGTATACTGGGGGGCTAAGTCTTCCGTTAATTTTTATCAATAGAGAGGGCGGCACTGGAAGCCACCAGCTCCTGGCTTCCAGATTTCATCTTCTGCAGCCCCTATGTTATAGCCGGCATCACCCGTTTCTCATTCCAGAACACGGTAGGTCTGTCTTCAGCCCCTCCTTGTCACTAGATTTTCTTTTTTCTGGGTTGCAGGTATGCTTAGGTTATTTTTTTGTTTTGACTGTGGAGCCTCTTCATTACCGTGAGCAGACTTTCTGTAGCTGTGGTATGCAGGTTTCTCTTGTTGGAGCACCAGAGCTCAGCTGCCCTGAGGCATGTGGGCTCTTAATTCCCCCAAGAGGGATTGAACCCATTTCCCCCTACACTGGAAGGTGGATTCTTAACCACTGGGCTGCCAGGGAAGTCACACTTATTTTATTTTTGAGCGTAGCTATGCCTTTGGCTCGCTTGCCAATGTGGGAGACATGAGATGTGAGTTCTATCTCTGGGTTGGGAAGATCCCCTGGAGGAGGGCATGGCAACCCACTTCAATATTCTTTCCTGGAGAATTCCAGGGACTGAGGAGCCTGGTGGGCTACAGTCCATGGGGTCACACAGAGTGGGACATGACTGAATGACTTGACACACATACTTTCGAAAGATTAAACTTTTCCCTGGTGGCTCAAGGGTTAAGAGTCTGCCAGCAATACCAGAGATGCAGGAGACTCTGGTTCAATTTCTGCGTTGGGAACATCCCCTGGAGAAGAAAATGGCTACGCACTTCAATATTCTTTTTTTAGCCATTCAAATTTATTAATGTAAACCTCCATTTTAAGTTGTGTACATATTGGATCAGTAAAAATTCTCAGTGAAGCACTGCATCTTCCAAAGGACAAGGGTTTTAGGAATGAGTATTAATTTGGTTCTCATGCTGAAAGATCTCTGCTAAGTTCCTTACGTATTTCTTTTTTTAAAATCTTTTTATTTTTTATTTTATTTTCAATTAATTTATTTTGATTGGAGACTAATTACTTTACAATATTGTAGTGGTTTCGCCATACCTTGACATGAATCAGCCATGGGTGCACATGTGTCCCCATCCTGAACCCCCCTCCACCTCCCTCCCCATCCCATCCCTCAGGGTCGTCCCAGTGCACAGGCTTTGAATGCCCTGTTTCATGCATCGAACTTGGACTGGTGGTCTGTTTCACATATGGTAATACACATGTTTCAATGCTATTCTCTCAAATCATCCCACCCTCGCCTTCTCCCACAGAGCCCAAAAGTCTGTTCTTCATATCTGTGTCTCTTTTGCTGTCTCACCTATAGGGTCATCATTACCATCTTTCTAAATTCCATATATATGCATTAATATACTGTATTGGTGTTTTTCTTTCTGGCTTACTTCACTCTGTATAGTAGGCTCCAGTTTCATCCACCTCATTAGAACTGATTCAAATGCATTCTTTTTAATAGCCGAGTAACATTCCATTGTGTATATGTACCACAGCTTTCTTATCCGTTCGTCTGCCAGTGGACATCTAGGTTGCTTCCATGTCCTAGCTATTTTAAACAGTGCTGCAATGAACACTGGGGTACACATGTCTCTTTCTCTTTCAATTCTGGTTTCCTCTGTTTGTATGCCCAGCAGTGGGATTGCTGGGTCGTATGGCAGTTCTATTCCCAGTTTTTTAAGGAATCTCTACACTGTTCTCCATCCACTCCAATATTCTTGCCTGAAAAATTCCGTGGACAGAGGAGCCTGGTGGGCTATGGTCCTTAGGATCACAAAGAGTCAGACGTGACTGAAGCGACTGAACACACACACTCATGCTCTTGGAGAGGAGGTAAGAATGGGCTTGACTCTGCTCTGTCACCCTGATGGACTGTGGCACCCACCCTGACTGCCCCCTTCAGGACTGACACACCCAGGCCATGAGTGATGGGCATATGGGCTGCCAAAGGCTCACAGCCGTGTCCTTCACTGTGAGGGGACCTCCGCTGCAGGGATCTGCCTTGCCCAAAGGTATACCTGTTCCTGGCTGGGGTGGGCGGTATAAAAGCCCACCTCCTTTGCCTCAACCTGGAGCAACTATCGCAACTCCTGCTCTTCGTAGGAATGGCTGAGGTCTTAGTGGCAACTGCATGGCAGTCAGTCCCTCCCTCTGCCTAGACCTGCCCTCTTCACCTCCGTACAGGTGACATTTCTCCCAAGGACACACCCCAATAGCCCCCTGTACTCAGCTCTGCACCCTGGACACTATTTGGGAACTTTAAGACAGACTGGAAGTTCACCAGAGAAAGTATTCAGTGGCCTGCTAAAAACATCTGTGCTTTGACTGGTATGGTGGACATATATTAAATTTTTTCCTGGGAAGCCTTATTTTTTCTCTAATTGGTCTTCATCCTTTTGGAAATTGTCATTCCCTGTGACCCCAGTCACTTTGTTTATTACAGGATCTGTATGTAACCCTACTTTTTATAGTTCCTCTTGTGGCTTTGTGTAGTCCAAACTAGAAATTCTGCTTCTTGCAACCAAATGTTCTAAGCTAGTTCACTGGGATAAAGCACTATTTTTATAAATTAGCAGGTTAATAGGCTTGATTTATCACATTAACCTGCTGCAGGTGAGCAAAGGGCAGTTTTTAAGACAGGATAGATTAATTAATATAAAATATTTGTACTTTTTCCTTAGCATGAAATTAGTGCATAATTGTTGTAGAAAACTTTGAAAGTAGGAGGGAGAAAAAAAATGCTCTTCATTCCACTGCCTAGAAGTAGTTATTATTATTGTTTATTATTAATTTTTCTATATCCTTCTAGTCTTTTGTCTAAGGTTATCTGTTTATGTATATCTATTTTCTTTGAGAATAGTGGGATCATACTGTTGGTAAATTGCTTTAAAATAATTTTACTGTTTTATAAACATATTTCATGTCATTACTCTTCCACCATGTTCTTTTATTTAATTTATTTTTAAAACTATAGTTGATTTATAGTGTTGTGTTAGTTTTAGGTATACAGCAAAGTGATTCAGCTATTTTTTCAGATTATATTCTATTATAGGTTATTGTAAGATAGTGAATATAAAATTCCCTGTGCAATGCAGTAAATCCTTGTTGCTTAACTATTTTATGAATTGGTGGTGGTGCCCAGGTTCTCAGTCGTGTCCGCCTCTTGCAACTCCATGGACTGTATAGCCCAGAAGGAGCCTCTGTCCATGGAATTTTCTGGGCAAGAATATTGGAGTTAAAAAAAGAAAAGAATATTGGAGTATGTTGCCATTTTATGAATAGTGATTTGTATTTGTTAATTCCATACTCCTAATTCTCACCCCCCGCACCCCCACCATGTACTTTTAAATTGCTGCATGCTACTATCCTGGTGTGCTGCGGTTCATGGAGTTGCAAGGAGTTGGACATGACTGAGTGACTGAACAACAACAATAACAACAACAACTCGACTGTATAGTTGTATCATAATTTATTGACTCAAACTTAAATTTAGGTTGTTTCCAAGTTATTGCTGTCATTAGTGATATAGTGAATGAGATCTTAAGATGAATTTTTGAACACAATTCCCAGAAATGTAATTGCTGAATTAAAATATTGATAGATTTTAAGACCTTTACCATGAATTACTAAATTGATTCCTAAAATATTATATTGCCATACAGTTGCCAGCAGGGTATGAGAGTACACTGGTCTAATATGCGGTTGTTTTCTTAAAAGAATTTTGATAATTTAATAGGTAAAATGATGCTTTCTTCCTTAGCTCATATTTCTTTAATTACCAATAGACGAATGTATTTTCATATGTTTATCACCTCTGTGTGTACATAGATATATGTATGTAGACACACACATATACATATGGTATGTATGTATGTATGTGGGTGTGAATTGCCTATTATGTCCTTTGCTCAAATTTTTTGTGATAGGTTGACATTTTTCTGTACAATGCAGATATCTTTTCCAGTTTGTCATTTGCCTTTTACTTTTGTTCATAGTGTCTCTTGATGTATACAGTCAGTTTAATAATTGTTTCTTTTGTGATTTCTGTTTTGCATGGGAAGGCCTTCCTCAACCCTAGGGAATAGGGACTTTGATGGGAGGTGGGGGTCCTCTGTGGCGAGGAGGCAAAAGGGAGTACAGAAAGGTTGATTAAGCCTGCGGCTAACTCCACAATCCCGACAAAGGCTCTGGAATTGCATCTTCTACCTCCTTAATTTTACAGATGAAGAAGCAGAGGTCCAGGGAGAATAAGAAATAAGATTGAAGTGGCAGATTACAAAGTCTCCTAATACCAGCATTATCCATAAAGGAATATATTACATTTTTATGAGAAATAATTAATTTAGTGTGGGTGAAAAGCAAAAAAAAAAAAAAACCAAACAATCCTTTTGTTTTCTTTCCTGTATTCTGATGTTGGTCATAACATTGACATAAAGAATTTAAAATGCTCCTGAAAGCTGATTACATCTTCACATGTAGAATTGATGGTTCTAATTTCTTTTTATTGATTGTGTAGCATATTATAAAAGCTGTATGGATGTCATGGTGCTTACCCAAAGCAAACTCACCAGAGCAATCATCATCCATCTATAATTGTTAACAGTGTCTACAAATTAAACTGGAGTGACCTGAAACTAAAGAGGAAGAATAGGCTATATAGTATTCAATATACAGCACTTTGTCTTGTTGGCTCAAGGAGTAGAAACAAACAACAAATAATGGAATATTCCAGAAGCATGCTTTACATCTATGAGGTGGAATATTAACTAATTTATAAGGTTGCTAGATTTAAAAAATAAAAATATCCACTTAAATTTGAGTTTCAGATAAACAGTGAATAATTTTATAGTAAGTATGTCCCACATAATGCATAGGACATACTTAACTAAAGAATTACTCACTGTTTGTCTGAATTCAAAGTTAATGAAGCATCCTGCATTTTATCTGGCAACCCTAGCACTCAGGACCTTTTGTTACACATAGTGAAAAACTAAACCCATTGCATGCACTGTATGGGGCTGGTTCGTTATCATTTCTCTTACACTAGTCAAATGAACAAGGTACTTTCAAGGAAAAGTCCACCAAGAATCTCACAGTGTTGTGAAAATTAGCAATAAGTAGCAGAGACACTGTATTAGATTCCACGGACTGCCATGATAAAATACCACAAGCTGGTGGTCCAAAATGACAGAAGTTTATTGTCTCACAGTTCCAGAAACTGCAAGTCTGAAATCAAACTGTCAGCTCCTTCTGAAATTAGTCGAGGGGTCCTTACTGGCCTCTTCCTAGCTTCCAGTGTGTGTGTTAGTTAATCAGTCATGTCCGACTCTCTGCAACCCCATGGACTGTAGCCTGCCAGGCTCCTCTGTTCATGGAATTCTCCAGGCAAGACTACCGGAGTGGGTAGTCATTTCCTTCTCCTGGGGATCTTCCCGACGCAGGGATTGAACCTGGGTCTCTGGCATTGCAGGCAGATGCTTTACTGTCTGAGCTACTAGGGTGGTTTGCCAATAATCCTTGGTGTTTCAGGATTTTAAGCTACATCACTTTTATTTTTAAGTAATTAAAAAATTATTTTTTACTTTATTTTTGGCTGAGCTGGGTCTTTGCTGTTGCACTTTCTCTAACTGCAGCGAGTGGGGGCTACTCTTTGCTGTGGGCCGTGGGCATCTCATTGCAGAGCAGGGGCTCTAGGGTTCGCAACCTGCAGCAGTTGTAGCGCACAGGCTTAGTTGCCCTGAGGCATTGTGAAATCTTCCCAGACCAGCGATCGAACCCGTTTCCCCTGCATTAGCAGGCAGATTCTTTCTTGTAAAAAATTTATTTATTTGTTTTTTGACTGAGCTGGGTCTTCATTGCTGCGCGTGGGATTCTCTCTAGTTGCAGCAAGCAGGGGGCCACTCTCTAGTTGTGGTGTGAGGTCTTCTTATTGCAGTAGCTTCTCTTTTGCAGAGCACGGGCTCTAGGGTGCTTGGGTTTCAATATTTGTGGCACCTGGGCTCCAAAGTTGTGGGTCTCGGGCTCTAGAGCACAGCCTCAGTGTTTGTGTCTCGGGGGCTTAGTTTCTCTGAGGCATGTGGGATGTTTCCAGATCAGGGATTGAACCCATGTCCCCCTGCATTGGTAGGCAGATTCTGAACCACTGGACCACCAGGGAAGTCTGCAGCTATAGCACTTATCTCTCCCTCCATAGTCACATGGTGTTTCCCAGTGTGTCTCTGTTTTCACATGGCATTTTCTTTTTATTAGGACACCAGCTATATTGGGTTCCTAAAAGAAATCAACCCTGAATAGTCCCTGGAAGGACTGATGCTGAAGCTGAAGCTCCAATACTTGGGCCACCTGATGCGAAGAGCTGACTCATTGGAAAAGACCCTGATGCTGGGAAAGATTGAAGGTAAAAGGAGAAGGAGGTGGCAGAGGATGAGGTGGTTAGATAGCATCACCGACTCAGTGGACGTGAGTTTGAGCAAACCCCAGGAGACAGTAAAGGACAGGGAAGCCTGCCGTGCTGCAGGCCATGGGGTGGCCGAGTCGGACACCACTTAGTGACTGAACAACAGCATACTGGGTTAGGACCCACGCTGGTGATCTCATCGTGATTTGATTACATCTGTAAAGACCCTATTTCTGAATAGTCACATTCACAGGTCCCAGGGTGGGGTGGTGAGGACCTCAAGATAACTTCCTGGGGGGGACACAACTCAACCTACAACAAATATGATCACCTAATATCTTTCATTATATATAAAAAATTGGAAAGTAACTTTAACTGTCATTTTATTACTTGCTAATTCCAAATACAGATACTGACTGGGAAGTCAGCTCCCATTCAATCATTCTTCATGGGAAAGATTTTCATTTTTCAAAGAACAAGCAGAAATTTTTATCTGGGCTCCTTGAATTTAGCCTTATATGTTTGGCTTGCAACCCAAACTTGATGTTAGAAGGAGGAGGCTCTAGGGACTGCAGAAGTTTTTATTTCCCTGCACATAAGGTGAAATTTTTCCTTTAAACTTTTTATTTTGTATTGGAATACAACCAATCAACAATGTTGTGATGGTTTCAGGTGGACAGCAAAGGAACTCAGCCATGCATACACATGTATCCATTGTCCCCAAAACGCCCCTGCTATTCAGGCTGCCACATGACATTGAGCAGAGTTCCCTGTGCTAAACAGTAGGTCCTTGTTGGTTATCCATTTCAAATATGGCAGTGTATGCATGTCCAACCCAAACTTCCTAACTGTCCCTTTCCCCTTCTCTTCTGCCCTGGCAACCATAAATTCATTCTCTAGGTCTGTGAGTCTGTTTCTGTTTTGTAAACAAGTTCTTTGAATCATTTCTTTTTAGATTCCACATGTAAGGGATGGCATTGGATAAAGTGAAATTTATTTTTTTTAAACAAACTTTCTGGTGTGATAGTCAAGTGAAGATTTTTTTTTTTAATAGTCCCAGAGGGGCCCTTTATAAACATGTTGACTTTTATTTATTTATTTTTGAACTTTTTATTTTGTGTTGGGATATAGGCAATTAACAATGTTGTGATAGTTTCAGGTGAACGGTAAAGGGGCTTCAGCCATACATATACATATATCCATTCTCCCCCAAACTCCCCTTCCATCCAGGGTGACATAACATTGAGCAGAGTTCCCATGTGAGTTTTGGTGCAATTGCCCCAGAAAGGGAGGGGGAGATGTTATAAAGCCTTCAGAAACTTTTACCTTCAAAACTTGTAGAGCATGTTTATGTTAATGTGCTTTGGAGGGATCTTCAGACAGCAACAAGGTCAGAGCAACTTCTTAGCGACAGCCATCCTGTAAGGGAGAGACTGAGCCAGCAGCAGAGGTGACTGTATAACATGTGAGTTTATGTATCAGCAACACAGAGGATAGTTAATCAAAGACTAGACCAGTTCAGTTTTCTAGTTCAGCATAAGCCAGGGAAAGAAGGGCATTTGAATACTTATTTTTAGAAAGATGATATGACAACATTAAAGAAAAATTTGAAAAAAGTACCCTAATCTCAGAAGCCTTTTTTTTTTTTTCATTTATTTTTATTAGTTGGAGGCTAATTACTTCACAACATTTCAGTGGGTTTTGTCGTACATTGACATGAATCAGCCTTGGAGTAGAAGCCTTATACAGATATGTTCATTTCTGTGACTTTCCACTCCTTTAGTAATATAGTGATATACCATTTAGAATCCACCTGCAAAGCGGGTTCAGTCTCTTGGTTGGGAAGATCCCCTGGAGAAGGAAATGGCAACCCACTCCAGTATTCTTGCTTGGAGAATCCCATGGACAGAGGAGCCTGGCAGGCTACAGACCATAGAGCTGCAAAGAGTTGGATATGACTGAGCGACTAAGCATATGCACATACCATTTTAAGGTTGGTGTGTCCCTATGACAAAGCAAAGCATATTTTTGTAAATTAAAATTTGAAAATAGAGACCACCCAACTTTAAAAGACATCTCCTACTTGGGCCTGTTATGTAAAAAGATTACAATAAAAATGTTAAGTTGTTTAACATGAAAAGGTTGGTCTGATATGACGGGGACTTTGCTTGTCCTTGGGGAGGATTGATTGTCTTAAGTGCAAACTCGTGATTCAGACTTACAGATGTTTAACCTCACAAACTCAAGTCTAGATATAAGAAATTATTGTATTTCCCAGGATTTTTAGTGTAATTTGGAGTATGAAGAGCTGCTTTTCAAAATGGATTCATCTCTGATGTGTTAATATTTTTGACGGTGTATTCTTAGGCAACTGCTATGAGTCACTAGCATTGAGTTTCTCTGACAGTTTTCACGTGGTAATCAGAGTAATGTATTTTCTTAGCTGACTCATTGGAAAAGACCTTGATGCTGGGAAGGATTGAGGGCAGGAAAAGAAGGGGGTGACAGAGGATGAGATGGTTGGATGGCATCACCTACTCAATGGATATGAGTTTGAGCAAATTCGGGAGATAGTGAAGGATGGGGAAGCCTGGCATGCTGCAGTCCATGGGACCACAAAGAGTCGGATACGACTAAATGACTGAACAACAACGTTTTCTTGGCAAATCCTGATCCAGTAGACCTTTAGATGCTAGGGTATTTCCAAGATAGGGAGGGCCTTGATAAAGTCATAGAGAAGTGATCGGGGAGCCTGTTCGCATCTCTTCTTGGCCACAGTTTTTTTTTTTATATAAATTTATTTATTTTAATTGGAGGCTAATTACTTTACAGTATTGTAGTGGTTTTGCCATACATTGACATGGATCCACCACGAGTGTACATGTATTCCCCATCCTGAACCCCCCTCCCACCTCCCTCCCCATCCCATCCCTCTGGGTCTTCCCAGTGCACCAGCCCTGAGCACCCTGTCTCATGCATCGAACCTGGACTGGAGATTCGTTTCACATATGATAACATACATGTTTCAATGCCATTCTCCCAAATCATCCCACCCTCGCCCTTTCCCACAGAGTCCAAAAGATTGTTCTATACATCTGTGTCTCTTCTACTGTCTGGCATATAGGGTTACTGTTACGATCTTTCTAAATTCCATATATAAGCGTTAGTATACTATATTGGTGTTTTTCTTTCTGACTTACTTCACTCTGTACAATAGGCTCCAGTTTCATTCACCTCATTAGAACTGATTCAAATGTATTCTTTTTAATGGCTGAGTAATATCCCATTGTGTATATGTGCCACAGCTTTCTTATCCATTCATCTGCTGATGGACGTCTAGGTTGGCCACATTTTATTATTATTATTGTTATTATTTTTACACATTTTGGCCTTGCCGTGAAGGATGTGGGATCTTAGTCCCTGGCCAGGGATCAAACCTGTGCCCCCTGCACTGGAACTGTGGAGTCTTAACCACTGGACCGCTGGGGAAGTTGTCAGCCACATTTTAAAGCTGAACCATTGGTTGGCTCAGTCCTCTCCCATCATTCACTTCCTCTGCGTCACCTTTTCTGGTGCCTCAAAACTAGTGCCACAGAAGCCACTTATATATCCTCCCCACCCTTGCCCAAGTTCAGAGCCAGTTCTCCCCGAGACAGGACAGGCACTGTGTCAGGTCCCCTACTCTCTGCTTAGCACCATCATTTTCCTAAACCTGAGACGTGAGGACTCTTGGAGGCCCCCGCCCCGTGCCCTGGTTCTCTCTTGTTGTCAGCCCAGGTTTCATGCTTCAGCGACTGCTCAGCTCCTACACGCTCTTCTTCTCCATCCTGTTTGTGCAGTGACCTGGCCTGACTGTCAGCTTTGGTGCCTGTTAGCTTGTCTTCTTGCCAAGCCTTCTCCCCAGAGCCAGGATAGGTAACCTAAGCTCTGCTTCCAGGGGTGGGTAGCATAAGCTCTGCTTTGCCCTGGAGAAATGTTATCATGTCATTCTGAAATCTTTCTTGACCCTGGATGTACAGCTGCTGTTCTCCACCCACATGCTGAGTAGCCTCCTGCAATCTTTCCTTTTAAAAAATTTTTATTTATTTATTTGTTTGTTTGGGTCTTTGTTTGTCTGTGCTGGGTCTTTGTGGTGGTGCACAGGCTTTCTCTAATTGCAGAGAGTGGGGGCTACTCTCTAGTTGTGGTGCCAAGGCTTCTGCTTGTGGTGTCTTGTTGCATCTAGAAGGCTCTAGAGCCCCGAGGGCTTCAGTAGCTGTGGTGCATGTGGGCTTAGTTGCCCCACGACATATGGGATCTTAGTTCCTGTTCCAGGGATCTAACCCATGTCCCCTGCATTGGCAGGTGGATTCTTAACCGCTAGACCATCAGGGAAGTCCCGCTGCAATCTTCTCTTTAACTGCCTTGATGGAGCTTTGTTTCAGCCACTGATGTTCATTCCATTGTGTCCAGCCCATGTTCCTTTGCAGACCGGGTCTGTTTCAGGCAACCATCCTAACCTGAGACATATCTGGGACATGTTCTGAGACATATCTGTGGTATCCTTAACCCCTTTCCTTCCTGCTGAGAGACTCCATCTGTCTGATATTGAGTTCTGAGATGTAACAAGATGGGCCCACTGCTTCTGAACCATTTGTGGATTTTTGTCTTGAGATATTGAGTCTCTCCGAGTTCTTTCCATTTCTGCATTACCTGTTCAGAACTGTGATGGAGACAGCTTATAGTACATGCAGAAAGCTTTTATTAATTGAATGCATGACTGATTGAATGAATGAATGAATGAACAACCCATTGAGGATCATTCAGCTGAAAAATTCAATGCTCAGGTAGGATTTTAGCCAGCAGTCACTCACAGTAGACAGTGGAAGAGCTGGGATTCAAA